CTCGTCGCGTGCAGGCCAGTTTGAGGGTACTTAAGGGCGCTTGTTTGCGCTACTTCGGTAAGCTCATTGCGTACATGCCGTCACCTGTAGGCGTTTGGTTGATGGGCGCTCTGGCAAGAGCGCCAAGCATCCCTGCCAAAAGCTGGCGCCACGGTGCGGGTTTTATTATCTTTTTTTTTGCACGACGCGATCAGCTGATCGGACCCCATCCCCAAACATGCAACGTCCTGATTTTTTCAGGACGGCGTCCCCGGAAGTCCCGACCCTTTCCCCGGGACCGGTTGTTCGTCCCGAGTCCTTCTCTGACGGTCCCGAGGCCCGGCGAGGGCCCCCCGGGGCCGAACATAACCACAAACCTCCCGTCCCGATTTTTTTTTAGTTTTTTGTTGCACGACGCGATCGTGTCTGGGACGCTGTCCCACAGCACCCGACCCGTATAAGCCCCCCCTGGCCTTGCCCCCGACCTGGGGCCCGCGCGGGTCGAGGAGAGACACCCGCTCGCCGGAGGGCGGCGGCCGCGGGCGGGGCCACCTGGCGCCGAGCCACGCCTGCAGGCACTCCTCGGTGAGGTCGCCTGCGGGGGCCGGCCCCGCCCCCTGCAGAGCCCCCCGAGCAGTGACAAAAATCACGACCCCTGCAGACCCCCTAGACCCTGCAGACGAGCTCGAGCTCGAGCTCGAGCTCAGGTCGCCTGAGGCGGCCGCCCCCTGCAGACCCCCCCGGAGCAGTGAAGAAATCACGACGGGAGGTTTTTTATCGTGATTTCCAGCATCTGGGGGCCCTCACTGGGCCTCGGGGCCGTCAAACAACGATTCGGGATGAGAAACCGGTCCCGGGGAATGGGTCGAAACCTGAGGGAGGTCGACGTCATGAACAAATTGTGACGCCGAGGGTCCGATTCTCGTCGGGACTGGCCCTGTGCCACACCTCTGATCGGCGGCGAGCCCCGGGGGGATCGTGCTCAAGAAACTGGGCTGACCGTCGGGGGAGGAGGAGGAGGAGGAGGAGGAGGAGGAGGAGGAGGAGGAGAAGGAGGAGAAGGAGGAGGAGGAGGTGGAGGAGAGGAGGAGGAGGAGGAGGAGGGGGAGGGGAGGAGGAGGAGAGGAGGAGGGAGGAGGAGGAGGAGGAGGAGGAGGAGGAGGAGGAGGAGGAGGAGGAGGGAGGAGGAGGGGGAGGAGGAGGAGAGGAGAGGAGGAGGGAGGAGGAGGAGGAGGGAGGAGGAGGAGGAGAAACGCTGGCCCAGCTTTGCGAGAGGAGGTGCGCAATCCGGTGCTCGACTGTATAGGTCGGCGGCGCTCCCGGCGGGGGAAAGTGCAAGGGGGGCGGGCCTTCTCAGACGGCGGCGGGGCTCCTCCGGAGCCCTCCAGCCTTCTCCTCCTCCTCCTCCTCCTCCTTCTCCTCCTCCCTCCAGCCTTCAGACAGACCGTCTCTGTCTTCGGAGAAGGCTCAGAAGACCTCTCAGAAGGCCAGAGGCCTTCTGAGCCTCCTGAGAAGGCCCGCCCACTCTGACTTTCCCCCGGACTCGCCGCCGATGTGATGTGTGCCACAAGTTGTGCAGCATCCTATCTGGGCCAGGATCAGCCAGCATTGGATCGGCAACAATGGTCGCAACATCGACATGTGCATTGGACCAGGCTGCATCGACACGGAATGGAAATCGAATCGGATGTGCTGCACCAGGGTGCACAACAGCGCCATGCAAGCATCGGGTCGCTTCGAATCGTCGACATAGCGGAATCGAATCGGATCGGCCAGAATCGATATCGAATCAGATCGATCGGACCGAAATGCACCCTGCTCTGGCCGAATCCATTCCTCCTCCCTCATGGACAACGCTCCAGATTCTGCCGATCGCCCTCAGGAGCGAACCGAACATTACAGAATTCTTCTTCTGTTCTGAGGAGAAACAATGGTGTCCCTCACATCTTCGTATCTCTTCTCGCCATCCTCCTCCTTCTACTTCTCCTCCGTCTCCGCCTTCTCATCCAGACGAAGCTTCATAAAATAACCATCCGTCTTCCCATGAAAGTTCGATGGGCTCCCAAGGCAACCTCGTAATATGCTCTCCACGCCCAGTGTAACACCCTTCCTCCTATTCCTCCTCCTCCTCCTCCTCCTCCTCCTCCTCCTCCTCCTCCTCCTCCTCCGTATCACCACCACTACCAACATCATGACCAGCATCGGCAAAAACCACTCCCCCCTTCTCCTCCTCCTCCTTTTCCTCCTCTCCATTCTCCTCGTTCCCCGTCCTCCTTTCCCGTCCTCTTCCCAACTCCTCCCCCTCCTCCCCATCACAATCCCTCCTGCTCGCCTCTCCCCCAGCCAGATACAGGGCGCTGAGCCTAGCAGGTAATCGCGGGACGTCCACGACCAGGCGTGGGAGGAGTGCGGGACCTGGGCGCGGTCCCCACGGCGCGTCCCCCGACCGTGTGCGGCGGAGGAGGAGGAGGAGGCGCTTGTACAAGGCAATGTTTAATACATGGGATTTTAAAACGTATCGGATTTTTACTACATGGTTAATGTATGAATAAATGTATGCATGAACGCATCGTTCTTTTTATTACTAAGTCACTGCATCTTTTAGTACATGATCCGCACACGGCACTTGTAGGCTAAGCCGCAGGAGATCTTGTTGGAGAGGCCTGGGGGCCCGAAGGAAGCAGAGGGACTCAGTGCGGCTTGCTTCCGGCAGTGGCAGCATTGAGATCCACGACGCGCCCCAAGACAGGCTCCGATTAACTCTATATAAATATGTATGTATGCCTTGGCACTTCGCTTTCGGCACCGCCTGATCCCGGGGCTTTGCCCTGAGGCCCCTCCTTCTGTTTTCATCCTCTGTTAATTAAAGCTGTGCGCGGCCCGCTTAGCTTCGACCGGAAGAGGCTCGCCCTCGACCTGCGGATCAAAAAAAGTATGTATGCCTTGAAAGCGGCCTAAGATCTGCACAGCATGGCCCGAAGACGGCCTCAATACCCACCAGGACGTCCCCGTGATGGCGCTGACCGAGTCTCTTCCAGAGGACTCGGCAGAATATCGCGGCCATGACCCGACACCGCCCCCAGATGCCCGGCGGGCCCCTTCGAGGCCCCGAGGAAGCCCAAAGAGCTTCGAATAAGCCCGCAATGCCTCCAAAGTGCCTTGAGGAGGGATGAGGGCGGGAAGAGGAAGGAAGATAAGAACGAGGCTGATGCCAGGGAGTGGGCGCTCAAGCTGGAACGGGCCTCGAACTGCACCTCCCTTCTGCCGCGCTGCTGCGGCGGCATGGTGGCAGGCCGCCGGATGCCGTGCCCCAGAAGAACATAAAGTCCCTCTTCCTCCTCCGTCCCCTCACCCTACTCGGGGTAAGGTCGGGCGGTGGTCTCCGAGGCGTCATCCTGATCCCGTTCGCCTCATCCTCTTTCCCTACTCCCCCGGGGCTGGATCAAGCTGGGGCTCCATCCGCCCTCCGGAGCTGTTAAGCACCCCCTGCATGGGTGCGCCGCTAGAGGCTCCCCAGCACGTCCCTCCTCCGGAGCGTCATCCTCCTTCTCGGGATGGCGGGGCTGGACTCCAGGACGGGGTCGGGCTCGGACTCCAAGAAGCACGACGACCATGCCAGAACACCGAAGCCCGTGAATCCAACTTCTTCCTCTTCCGCCCAACTCCTCATTCTCATACTCCCACTCCTCCTACTCCTCCTAATCTTTGTCAGGGGGGAGCTCCGCCTCCGATTTCTTCAGCTCCTCCCGGTCCTCCTCCCCCCGCCAACTCCCAATGTAACTCCTCCACCTCCTCATCCTCACCATCACTCCTACGACTCACTCTCGTACGCGCATTCCAGAAAAGATGGCGCAACCCTGCGCGCCACCATGCGCGCGCAAAGCGTCCAGAGGCCTACGGCGGACGCGACATGACGGCTATGGAAAACAAAACCCGCCGATGGCTTGTGCCTGCTACTCCTCGGGGTAGGGTGATGCTGCTGATGATGATGATGACGATCATGATGATGATGATGAGGATGATGATGATGATGTTGATGATGATGATGATGACAATGATGATGATGATGATGATGATGATGATGATGATGATGATGATGATGATGATGATGATGATGATGATGATGATGATGATGGGGCGCATTGTTTTTGCTGAAGCGGCCATTCTTCGTGACACGGGCATGATTTGCCCCTCTGGGACTCTTCCGACCCAGTAGTGGCCTCGCGTGCTGAGCGCTCTGGGCCAAGATGCTGACGGACATGCCCATATACATGCGTGAGAAAACACGAGATTGTCGCAACGGCCTCTTGTCCCTTGCCACGCAAGCATATTCCGAGAAATCTTCGTAACAAATGTGGTCTGCTGCTACGCAGGAACCGAGAATGTTAAAGAGCATCTGCCGCCGTCCTACCCCAACCAACCTCCTACGATCGGACAAAAAAACCTGTGGATTTCCACCGTAGTCGGCACTGACAGACCGGAGTTTTGGCACAAGGTGGACAACGCCCACTCGCCACGAGGAGCCAATTTTTGAAGTTGACGCTGCTCTCCCACTGCTTGCTCAGGAGATGCAACTCGCGATTTAATCGCGCGTTTGCCCATTGGTGGAAAACGGACGCACAAAGAAGACGACTCTCCCCTGGGACCCACCCTCCCTCGGCTCACGAAGGCGTTGACAAGGCCGTCGGTGTAAAGCATTGCGTAGTTGTGGCATCGATGATCTGAGACGAAGCTCCATTTCGCCTAAATTTGCTGGTCGAAATGTTTGCTGGCTGTCTGGCGAAGAGGGGGGGAGCTGCATCGCCCGCCGCACCGCAGCGCCATAGCCACAGGCCCCGCGCGGTGCACCGAAGGAGGGAGGGTGGCGAGATAGCTCGGAAAGGGGAACCCACTGGCTCGTCACCTTCTCGTGCACACTATGGCCAAAAACATGTTGCGTCTGCAGTCCTGGATGTCTTGGAAAGGCTCGCGCCAAGAAAGGTTGCTTCAAGATAAAATGTTTGCTCCAATTCGAGGGCGACTGGTCCGGCGCGCAAGCTGAGCATCGTGAAACACCTGTTGCGCTGCTGGTTCGGGCCGTCGAAGAAAGCGGTAATGTCGTCTTTGAGCTGGGAGTAGCATCGAAGCCACACAGATCGGAATACATCCACATCGCTGATACACTGTTGCTCTGCAAGCTGGAAGAAGGTACCGTCAGATACGTCTCCACTGCAGATCATTCCCATGCCGCTGCCATGCAATACTTCCCACAGGTATTCAGGTACCCCTGGGAGCTCGACGTGCTGATGTCCCACGATCAACTCCAACACTCGGGTAAACCTTCGCTGGTGCCCACCTTGGAAGGATTTGTTGGACTGCCCCAGAAGGACGCCCTGGGTTCTACTCATGTAGAACTCTTTTATGTCTGTCTTCGTGATGGTGACAGCCTGGGAAAGCCTCTCATAGGACAAACGGGACACGAACGCCGAATAATCTTTCATCAAGTGGGACAGCTTATCCAGATGCTTTCGGAGCTCTCCGGCTAGGAACCGCATCGCTGGAGCGAGAATGCTGCGAGGCTGCGCGGCGTGGCGCAAGCGAATCGTGCACTTCGCCTGGGGCTTGTGTCTGTGTTCTTGCTGTAGCTGGAACTTTGAAAGTAACGCCCCTCTTGCGCCCTCTTCCACTGACAAATGCCCTGAACGAGTCGGGGTCGAACTCGCTGTCCACGTCGATTACTGCCTCTCTGCGCATAGAAACGTACTGACCACACACGTTATCCGTGAGGACGCTAGGATCTTGATGAACTCTCGTGCTTGCTCTGATTGCCCAGAGCTTGGATGTGCGCAATTTGCAACCGGCCCTTCAGAATCTATGCGAATCCTCCATCCGTGTCCGTGGGGAGGCACCCCCACAGGCCTCCCCGGAGAGATCCTAAAGCAGTCGATACAATGAGTGGCAGCCGAGGGCTTGCGCCGCAACGAGCGTGGGATTCGACGCAAACTTGCCACAACCTTGAATGTACGTCGGACATGTATGTGTAAAATGGCTCCGGAACTTCATCTCGAAAAGGCATGGTGGTCGGAAAAAGATCTACGATGTGCTGCCATGCCTGTCGGGACTGGTCGTTTCCAAAATACTGTCGCCAAGCAGCCTTGTTTAGCAAACTCTGAATTCCCAAATTTACTGGTTGAATGGACGGTGTTTGCGATGGTGGCGCAATAGGTGTTCTACTGTCCAATCAATTTGCCCTTTGCTTGGCACGGCCGTGACCTTGCGCAACGGGCCAAGAGAATATATTCCTGGACGGCCCAATCCGCATTCCAGCACTCAGCCTATTTCCGTCTTGGTCAGGCCGCGAAGAAGGGATGTGAAATGATTCAGTATACACTTACTGCCGCGTGCTCTCTGGGCCGTCGAGCGCAGGCCTTAATCTTCACCACCCTTTCCCATTTCCGCTGCGCCCTCGTCCCCTGGCAGGCGGGCGTGGTCTGTCGTAGCCCTTGCCGGTGCTCTTGCCCTTCGAACTCCTAGCTTTGCCAATTTTGCCATGCTTCCCAGCTTTGCCTCCTTTTCCTTTCGCAGTGGTTTTCCCCTTGGATGTGTCCTTTCCTTTGCCTTTGCCTTTGCCCTTGCTGTCCGTGCCCTTGCCTTTCGGGATCGACGACCTGTCACGGCCCCTGCCTCTGCCCCCGCTCTGGGCGGAGGACTGGCCGTTGGTTGACCCTCTGGCAGGGGCGCTGTCAGGGAGATCAGCTAAGATCGCATCTTCGGTGAGGCCACCTTCACATCGCTGCTGGTACCATGACGCTGGGGTGTCCAACGGCTTCTTGGCGTCCTTTTTCGCCGAGCGCCTGGCTTTCTCGATTCTGGCGTCGATGACCATCTCCATCAGTTCTGCTGGGGGCTTCTGACTCGCAGCCTCCACGAACTTCTTCCTGGAATGTCCTTTTTTTGCTGCGTCCAACTGTTTCTGCTTGCAATGGGCAGCTTGATCAACAATCTTCCTGTAGATGACTGCGAGACTGGGTCTGAAAACGTAAGGAGCCACGCTAACAGCGTCGTCTTCCGCCAAGCCTGAGAAAGAAAAGGGCGACGTTCTGGCAAGCTCAACCGCCACGCACTGCTGGTCGAACGCTTCACGGGAAGTCGTAAGAAGAATATCTTCACGCTGCCGCTGGAGTACATCCAAATCACATGTTCCTGGTACGCCAAGGTCGCGCCGTAGATCTTTGCCTTGGCGTCCCTGATGGACATGTTACCTATATCAATATGAAGTGATTAATCCACGCTGGTGCGTACCGTAGCGAGAAATGGGCCTCTCGTATGCTAGTGTGAACGGACGAATGCCTGGAGGGAAACTGCCTTCATCCAGTCTGTCTTGTTGCTCAGTGTTTGAATTCTGCCTGTCGATCAACATCTGCAAATTGTCGACGTAGGCATTCGGGGATTTGCACGTTGTCTTGATTTGCGCCTGGACTTCCGGGCTGACGCATCCACGAAGCTGTTGTTCGATGACGTTGGCCAGCTGGGCTGGCTCGGGTCAACCACCGACCCGATGCTCTGCTGAGGAGCGAGCGATGCCACAGATGATGTTGCTGGTTCTGACTGAAGCTATGAAGCCCGTACGGAACCAGGAGATCGTTCGCGTTCCTCTTGGGGCTGAGCTCCTGGGTGCAATGACCGTCGACCTACACCTCGACTCCATTCTAGATCACCACGCATGCCGCCAAGAAGAGTGTGTAATGGGAAAATTCGACGATGATGGATGCACTGTTCTTGCTGAAGCGGTGATGCTTCGTGACACGGGTATGTTTTGGCCCCCTGGGACTCTGCCAACCCAGGAGTGGCCTCGCGTGCTGGGCGCCCTGGGCCAAGATGCTAACGGGAAAGGTAATGTTAAAGAGAATGTCAAACTTCGGCTCTCGTGGCGACTGGGCGATGTCCCACTTGTGACAAAACTTCGGTTTTCAATGCCGACTACGGTGAAAACCCCAAGGAGTCTTGTCCGATCATCGGAGGTTGGTTGGGATAGGACGGCGGCAGCGTCTCTTTAACATTCTCTGTTCCTGCGTAGCAGCAGACCAAAATTGTTACGACGACTTCTCGGAATTTGCTTGCGTTGCAGAGGACAAGAGGAGGTTGCGACAATGTCGTGCTTTTCTTACGCATGTACATGGGCATGTCCGTTAGCATCTTGGCCCAGGGCGCTCAGCACGCGAGGCCACTCCTGGGATGGCAGAGTCCCAGGGGGCCAACACATACCCGTGTCACGAAGCATCACCGCTTCAGCAAGAACAGTGCATCCACCAGCATCAGCATCATCGTCATCATCAGCATCATCATCGTCATCAGCATCATCACCATCATTATTATGATTATCATCATCATCACCACCACCATCATCATCATCAGAGGCGGTACAGACCCGACACTGCTGCTGCTGCTCATCCTCCTCCCCCGTTCCTCTCCCCCGCGCCACTCCCTTCTGCTCCTGATGGTGGGGCGCGATGCACGGCCCGCCTGGTCCAAAGAATCACCTGTTCACGACATTCCCCGAAGACATCCTCCCTCTGCCCCTTGTCCGGCCCCTCTGGCACAGAGGACGTGCGGACGGCGGGGCGGGACTCAGAGAGCGGCGTCCACCCGCCACGAAAACCAGCGAGCCCAGCAGCATTGCCATACCGTGCGCATGGGTGGGTCCAAGCGAGGTGGACGAGGCCGAGGGTGGGTTGTCGCAGCTCTTCGGACGTGCTTCGGTGGCTTTCGGAGATGATCAGGAAGCCGCAGGGAATGATATGGAACTTCTCCGATGCTCCCGGATATTTCCCAGGAGCGAGGGAGGAGGAGCAGGAGGAGGGGGAATGAGATGGAGAATGAGCAGGCAAGAGAGAACCACAAACTTTCCTGTCCTCAAACGCTAAGCCCGATCGAGAGCCGCCAACCTAAAGCGGGGTTGGGCCCAAAGGTGCGGTTCACCTCTGTGGGGATGGTCTCATGCAACGGTCAGTCAACATCGCATCAGGAATCGTATCGAATGGGAATCTGCGTCGGGTCGGGCCGCATCGGCGCGGAGTCGGAATCCAATCGGATCGGCCGCACCAGGATGCGCAGCAGCGCTGTGCAAACATCAGGCCGCGAGAAAGGTAGGAACATCAGGATCGAAGTGGATCGTGCCAGCCGAGATGGAGAACTGAAGCAGTCGTGTCGAAGTGGACTCGGCGTGTCAATCCCCTCCCACACGCAGGTACCCCCGCCAGAAGCAGCCCTCCACACCACTCCTGGCGTAAGCAAGCCTACCCAGAACACGCAAGCAACAAACATACCCTCGGCACACAGCGAACCTCGGTGTGCGACGCCCGCTCCTCGCGCTCCTCGTCGCCCCGTGCTGTCTGCCGCACGGACGGGGCGCGCCAGGGGCCCGGCCTGGCGCATCGCGGGCAGCCGCTCGCAGATCTTCTCCCGGTGGACCTGGCAGGCGCTCGCGAGGGGGGAGGACGAGGACAAGAAGGGAGAAGGAGGGAGGGAGGAGAGGGAGGGATCCAGGTGGAGAGGAGGAGGGACAAGGAGGAAAGGAGGACGAGGGCAAGAAGGGAGAAGGAGGGAGGGAGGAGAGGGAGGGATCCAGGTGGAGAGGAGGAGGGAGAAGGAGGAGAGGGGGACGAGGACAAGAGGGAGAAGGAGGGAACAGGAGGAGAGGGAGGGGTCCAGGTGGAGAGCGCGGAGGAGCGCGCAAGAGCAGGGCCATGAACTGCTGTGGAGGTCCGCGCGGGCCTCCGCACGTCGATCTTGAGGCAGGTGTGTGTTCCCCGGAGGGAGGAGGAGGAGGAGGAGGAGGAGGAGGAGGGGGAGGAGGAGGAGGATGAGGAGGAGGAGGAGGAGGAGGAGGAGGAGGAGGAGGAGGAGGAGGAGGGAGAGAAGGAGGGGAGGGAGGGAAAGGAAGGAGGGAGAGGAGGGAGGGAGGGGAGGAGGGGTAGAAGACAGGAGAGGGAGGGAGGGAGGAGAAGGAGGAGGATGGAGAGGAGGAGGAGGAGGAGAGGAGAGAGGGAGGGAGGGGAGGAGGGAGGGAGGGACGAGAGGGAGGAGAGGAGGGAGGGAGTCGGAGGGAGGAGAGGGAGGAGAAGGAAGAGGAGGGAGGGAGGAGAGGGGGGGCTCCAGATGGGGCATGGAGGAGCTCACAAAAACAGAAGCGCCAACTACTGAAGGTCCGCGCGGCCCTCTGGAAGTCCGTGCACGATGCCATTGCCTGTTCCCCGAAAGGAGAGGGAGAGAGATAGAAGAATCGAACACGCCATGAACTTACACTCTTGGCGCTCCGCGCGGATTTTTTGGATCTGCGCCGGACCCCCCCCCCCTGACGCGCGGAGCGCGCCAAGGGCGGCGCCGGAGGCGCCGCCAGGGGGGTCCAGCGCAGATCCAAGAAATCCGCGCGGAGCGCCACAAGCTTATGGTGATGGCGTGTTTCGAGAAGAGGGAGAAGGGGCCAGGCCGAAGGAGGCGGGCCCCGCCCGATCCCACTACAATCTACCTCCCGCAGCACGGGCAGCGCATATTGGCACGACTGGACATTG